CATAAACCAATCTTTTGTGCTATTAATTAATTTTTAATAATTTAAAAATTTCATCTTAAAATTATCTTAAAAATTCCAGCAATGAGTTGCTTAACTTTCTCGGCAACATTTGGTAGCGCCATCTGTTATAATATTTTATTTTTAAAAACTTTTTATTTATAGTATTATTATAAAATGGCAAAAAGCTTCATTTTGAGGGTAAGAATGGATTAAAAAAATTGTAAATTCCCTTCCATCTCCCCAACCCCTCCGACCTTTAACCCCCAAAATTTAACAGCATCAATCCCCCTAATAAACAAAACCTCCCTGAAAAATTTCAGAAATTTTCGACCAAAAGCATAGGAATTATTAAGCAGCTTTCAAAGAGAGTGAACAAAATCGTGCCACCACACAAACACACACTAGTATCCATACATACAGAAAAAAACCCCGAATTTTTTTGCATTTCTTGCCTTTTCAAGGTCCCCCCAGTTATAAATGTAAAAATCTTGGGGGGTCATTTTTGATCGATTGCCATACTTTTCCTCTATTATGTATAGCCGGAAAAGTATTGTTGATAAATCTAGTGTTTACTTATAACTAATTAAAATTTCACACGACATTAAGAAGTTAATAATGAAAATAAAAATTACTTCTTAACTAAGATACTTAAAGCAGATAGTATTTAAATAATTTTTTTTTCTTACATTATCATTATTAAGGTCAAATAAAGTATAAATTAATTATTTATAAATGCATTTTTTAAATTTCTTTATTAAGTGCAGAAATACTTTATTGTATTTTATTATTATTATTTTTTTTGTGCATTTATAGGTGTAGGAATGGATGATTCTTTTGTTTTGTTATCATCTTGGAGGCTTTCGGATCCTAAGAAAAGTATTGAAGATAGGATGAAGGAAACGTATTCAGAAGCTGCTCTTTCTGTAACCATTACTTCAGTAACAAATTTTCTTGCCAGTTGTATAGGGTTAACAACACCATATAAAATGATTCAGATATATTCATTATATACAGGAATATCAGTTTTATTCGTTTATATTATGCAAATTACATTTTTTGGAGGTTGCATTGCAATAATTGGTTATAGAGAACAGAAAGGTCTTCATGCTTTATTTTTTGTTCCTGTTAAATATGATAATAATAGAGGTAAATTATTAATATTTTAATAAATTCATATTTATATTTAATACATTTTTAATTATAATAATAATAATAATACTTAATTAATA